CCCCCCCCCCCCAATTATTGAACTTGCTACGGCACTGACTTTTGATTGTTATACCATTAAGCAATCTGGCAATTACTTCTAACTAGTTCTGACAATCCTTGCACCCTTGAAATGGGAAGGTAATTTCTACCTTGTATCATGGCCAACGTTTAGGGCCACTTTCAGTGCCTAGCAAGCTCGATAATTGGGGGAGGCTCATATTCATATATTCGTGTTCTGCGTTATTAATTTTTTTGAAATTGATTGCTTTTATGGACTGTGTCTGATAATTGTACCACCAATGGTTCTGCTATCTCTTGTTTTTCCCATCATCATTTCTGTACTCAACTTTACAACATATAATATATTCTTGTTTATTCCAGAATTACCTTACAATAGGGACACCATTTATCACACAATTGGGAATTTATCCGGACTCACTTTGGTTTCCCAATTAAGCCCTAGAGTGACAGCACTCTCCCTTGATGAGTAAATTGTCTGGTGTTAGACAGATAAATAATAATGTAGGGCATATCAGGGTGCATTGTCACTTAAAGGGTTAATCTTGATCTGGGCGGGTGGCAAAATACTGCAGTACCAAGCAAGATGTATGGAAATTGAAGACACAAAAGCTGGATCAATTTTGAACCATTTTAGTTGGACTTCTTCAATGGAATTATTAACAGTGAATAATTTTAAATTAATTTAAAACTAAAATGTATTATAATTACAGTTAGTGTACATGATGTAGTGGAGCATGTCTATTATATTAACTTAATAAAGCTTTATACTTTCATATGTTATCTGCATGGTGGGAGGTGGGGGGTTGTGCAGAAAAATTCAGGGGTGGAAGTTGAATGAGTGGCACGTAGCCACAGAATAAGGCACACAGAAGGTTGACTCGAGTAACTGCTGCCACGCCATGATTCATCATCAAAATGCTGACGCCATGGTCCTATCCAGTGCGCGTTTAAGAGGCATTCCCCCCTGGACGTTCGCCATTTTGAATAATATCAGGGGAGTGAATGCCTCTCAAATGTGCACTGGCTAAGACCATGACGTCAGCATTTGATGACGAATTACGGGTTACGCCAAAATCATAGGAAAACCCAAGAAGTCGACCTTCTGTGTACCTTATTCTGTGATGTAGCATCCTGCGGAAGATCAACCAAAACACAATATACCAGACAAATATAAAAATATTATGTAATTTGTAATACAATGTAATGAATTGGATTGATCATGTATTGCATATGCACATCAGCCTTTATACATGTAAAAAGAATATATTTGTCTTATATGTTCGCACAACACTCTTTTCTTTTCACAGTTAGGAAATACGGCTGCCAAAGCTCTTGAAAGGTGGCTTTTTACACTAAGATCATCAGTAACAACATCCTCTTGTTTAAGTCTCAACCCATCTGTTTTGATGCATATATTCTTTAAAGAGCCCCGAAGATCTCCAGGAACAAATGTGCTAACATCACCTACACATTCAAACATTGGACTTTTGAAGTGACTTATTAAAAATACAAGTTACAATCTTGAACAAATTTCCTGCATTTAGTTCTTGGTAATCCCGGACTCTTAGAATCTGGTGTTAGGTCGTGTTTGCCGTCAAATGGCAGTAACTTTCTCGCTTTAGGAGTATTGGTCTTTGGACATTCATCTGAATTTATGGAATTGAAGTCTATAGTTCAGAACGACAAAAATTACAACTTGAAACAAGGCAACATGGCGCTAATCAGCCGAGCGTATAATGAATTCCAGTTTCTTAATTTCTTTAGTATACGGAAATTTATGCTACGGCTCAAAGGGTCAACAGATTCAAGACATTCAAGTGGTAGAATGTATTATATTATCTTTTGACTCACCATCTAAGTTCATCAGAGTCCACCATTTTGAAGTACTTTAGACTTGACCAATTGAAGGCCGATATACTTGATAAAAATACGCACTGTGCAGAGACTACATCATAAAATGATCGGTTTATGTATACCAATGTCAAAAAATCCAAACTTGAAGCTTAAAATATTAGTTTGCAAGAAAAACACTTTCTTGCAAGAAAAATCACAGTAATCTGCCAGTCGCTAAATTTTCTTCTTTCGTCCTTCCCGTGAGCCTCTACGCGCCCACTTCTGGCCGCGCGCCCGCTCTTAAAGCGACTGGGGACGAGTCTGGATCCGCGGTCAAACACCGTCAAACACAACACCACAAGAGTTGAAAGTCACTATGCAGGGTGTATAAAAAAAGGAGACCTTTAGAAATCAACCATATTGTTAAAATTTGAATGCCTTTTCAATTGCACATATGCTGAACCGTAGTGCGTGAAATATTGATGAGGTGCATATATTAGAAAAAGGAGATCTTTAGAATATGAAATAACGTTTAAACAAAAGATTGTCTTCTCCTGGGAACAATCTGCCATGCATATTGTACGTAGATCGTATGTTACGCACTTGTGGGCTTAGCAAAGTGCTCCAGGATTCAAATTATAACAATGGTTGATTTCCATAGGTCTCCTTTTTCTAATATATGCACTCCATCAATATTTCACGTACCACGGTTCAGCATATGTGCAATTGAAATGGAATGGTCAATTTTAACAATATGCTTGATTTCTAAAGGTCTCCTTTTTTTATCCACCCTGTAAGTGTTTACATCAAATATCTTAATTATGCATGCAAAATTACTTGAATAGAGTTCCTAATTACGTTATGCTTGGTTACTAGAAGCCATATAATACATTGTTTTCTCGTGTTTGGATATCCCGGTGAAACACTCGCTCTCGTCGTTCATATATATTACTTGAAAAATCACGCCGCGGAGGCATGTCACGACATGTCTCACTTCAACTTCTCGCTTGACGCAATTAATTCAATCAAACTGCAGTGCAGCATAGTTTCAACATTTCAGTTCACACATGTCTCATGAGAGTTCAACTTCTCGCGTGACGCAATAAATTCACACCTCAGTTAATTCAATCAGACTGATCGGTGATATAAATTGTTTACGTTAGCCAAAAAAGTCAGTAATTTGTTGACGTTTGAACTATGCCAATCAGAATCTATTCCAAATCTGGGTAGCGCAACTGGAGGTCGTACGTATAGCAATGGCGCGACATATTATAGCACTGAATACAGTCCATGCACAGGCTGCTTACCATAGTCATTTTGGATTTTATTTTTACTCACCGATAATCACCTCGCCTTCGGCTAAGAATTGTTATTCATTTCTGTTTTGTATATTTATATTGATATTTTGTAAAGGGCCCACTGTAATTGGTATTAAGCTGTTGTGGTGTCCCAGCTTCTTCTATCAATCAACGCTCGTCCACGCCAGCCTATATTTGCTAACGTCAGTCTCTATAACGTCGGTCTCTATATTCTCTACACTATTCCCCTCTAAATTTAATAGATAACAAAGCTGCAAAAATGCAGTACAATTTAATAGATAACTAAGCTGCAAAATTGCAGTACAGTCCGACATATATGTATAGCTAAAGCTATTCATAGTCCCGTAACCACGCTGGTTTTTTTCTCGTTCGCGCTGGCCTTTCCGGTGGGGCTTGTGACTGTCCCTCGTTTCCTTCTACTGGTTCTCGCAATGTCTCGTCGCTACCGTCTCTCTGATTATTCTGTTCCATTGAACTCAATGGCCCATCCTGTTGTAATTCGTCAGGTAAATGTTGTACGTCTTCTTGGACCTCATCAGGTAAATTTGTCCGTGTTCCTCCCCGTTAATTGCCCGACTTGGTCTACTTTGTCTCAAATTTCTTCTAAAATACCTCACTGTCCACTCATCTTCATCATTTCCTCCGTTGGTTGGTGGTTCCGTTTGCGGGGTTTGGCCACTACAATTCTCCACGTTTTCTTTTCTCGTTTCGGGGGTTTCTTTCGATTGCAGTTTCGTCTCGTTTGGTGGTCGATTAGGTAGACTTTTCAACGGTCGTTCAAAACACGGTTTAAGACGATTGTAATGGACTACTAACCTATTCCTTTTGTTGGCATTTTTCTCGATTCGATACACCACATCTGAAATTTTCTTCACAATCGTATATGGTCCCCGCCACGGCCGTGATAGCTTCAAATTCTTTCCCTTTTTGACAAATGGTACATACAACCATACTTTTCCCCGACGTTGTACGTCGTATCTTTCGCCTTCGCGTCATAGTAGTCTTTATATCGCTCGCTAGATTTCTTTGTATTTACTCTGGTCAACTCGTATGTTCTTTCAAAACGTTTCCTCAATTTTTCCGCATACTCTGATGTAGTCAGTTGTACTTCTGCTTGAGGGGACTCAGGTGTCATTAGGTCAACTGGGATTCTTGTTTCTCTTCCAAACATCAAGAAATTGAATTGAATTGAATTGATTTAATGACTACTGACTTTGTAACCCAAAAAGGTTAAATTACACCAGTATTACATAAATTAAGAGGATAAGTTAAAATTACATAATAATTACATATTTAAGATTATTTACATTTCTAAAAACTTATTTACTGTTAATCTTTAATATACTTTGAGGTAAAAACGAATTCTTAAAACGTACGGTTCTGCAAACATAATTATGATATTTACATATCGGTCTTAGATCATATCCAGATAAAACTGTTTGTGGCAAAAGATCTTTGAGATTTTCATTGTCAATATTCTTCTCAAAGAAATGTTCGCATAATTTTTCTCGTCGATCTCTCAGTGACGTGATGTTAGTCGTGATCAGCGCTTCGTCGTACTTTTGCGATGGGAGGATTATTCTCAACGCGCGTTTTTGTATTTTTTCAATATCGTCACATAAATATTGTTGGATATTGTAATGCCAGACCTGGCATGCGTACTCTAAAACAGGCCTAATAATGGTAGTATATACAGTAATTAACGTGTCAATACACGCGTTGGACCTTTTTAGCAGTCTTAGCATATAGAGCCTCTTGCTAGCTTTTTTAACTATGTTATTTATATGTTCATTCCACTTCATGTTATCTTGGACTGTGAGGCCAAGGATACGGGCAGATTTCTCTCGTTCAATATTAACTTTATCAACTGTTAAAGGGGGAAAGCAATGCTTCTTTTTTGCAAAATCAATAACCAGTTCTTTGCATTTTCCAATGTTTAATTTCATATTATTACTCGTAGTGCAATTATTGATGTAATTAACCAGTTCTTGAAGGTTGCTGTTACAATCTGGGCCAATGGTTTCGGTAGTGGTGGTGTCGTCAACGTATTTCCATCGGTCTTTCCAATCAGCGAGGAGATCGTTTATCATGATTAGGAAGAGGATTGGGCCTAAAACAGTTCCCTGGGGTACTCCACCGTTGAGGATTTGCCATTCTGACACACAATAGGGCATTCTGACCCGTTGGCTTCGTTGAGTAAGAAAACTTCTTATCCAGTTTGTTATTAATGATGGAACGTCCATATCAGATAATTTACTGAGGAGGATGTTATGATCGATATGGTCAAAAGCTTTGGAGAAGTCTAATAAAAAAATTCTCACAGCGTTTTTCGGCACATCAGTTTCGTTTAATAAGTGATGGAGAAGGCTCAATAATGCATGTGTTGTTGAAGAGTTTTTTAGAGATCCAAATTGCCGTTTATCGATCTTCTCACCAATCAACTCCATCAGCCAGTCTGCGACAAAACGTTCACACGTTTTTGACAAAGTGGCAGTAAGCGAGATGGGACGCAAGTCTTTAGTAATGTCCCTCAGCACCTTATTTTTAGGTACAGGGATGACGTCGGCTTTTTTCCATACCGCGGGAACAGACGCCTGTTGAAGGGAGGCGTTGAAGATTGAAGTAACAGGGGAAGACAGCAGGGGCGCATAATCTTTTAGGACCCAATTCGGTATTTCATCTGGGCCAGCCGCTTTCGAGGATGATATTGAAGATAATTTATAATAAATGTCTTCTTCCCTAATAATGTACTCGGTTGGAATTGTAGTACAATCGCTTTGTAATTGGCTATCGGGGAAAGGGATAGGACTAAGGGGAGGAATATTTCGAGTAACGGATACGAAAGCCTCGTTAATTTTTTCAGCAAGTTGCTTTCCAGAGACGACTTGCTCTCCTAGGACAATACTTGAAAAAGATTTCTTCTTAGGGTAGCCAGCTATTTGTTTTACGGTGTCCCACCATTTCTTAGGATCAGGGTTACGTTTCAATTGTTTCAATTTATGTTATAAGAATGCAGATTTAAGGTACTTACTTTCTCGATTGGCACGATTACGTAGTCGCCGATACAATTTGTCATTTTTCTGAAAAAATGCCTTCTGTCTGCTTTTAATAAGTTCCATGTATGAAGGTGTTATCCAAGGCTTATCTCGGTCGTGCATTTTAACTACTTTACATGGAAGGAAGTGGTCTAAGCCGGTATGAATAGCATCCTGAAAAATTTCCAGTTTTTGTTCGCACGGTGCAGTATGATACAGGTTAGTCCAATTATAGTTCGTTAGCCACCTTCCAAATGCAACTTTGGCACCTCTGTTACCGGGTCTAATTTTTATTTTCTTGCATCCGTTCAATGATTTACATTTTTTTTAAATGCATAAAACGGAATTATGGTCGCTGAGTCCGATGGGTGCCATCACCTTAGGAGGGTCACATGTCAAGGACAGCATCTTTCCTGGTTGGTTGTTTTTACATGCATGTACAACCAGCCCCAGAAAACCATACGATTTAATCGCTCTTTAACAATTTGAGATTATATAGTCTTAGGTTTTGTTTCAGATATACAGCTAATTTTATTTTGTAGTTTTAAAATCTCCTGATATGACCGCGATTTTAGAGGCATAAAACCGCTTTAGGCTATCTTATTATAGGAAATTAACGATGCACTTCATTAATGCGGATTTTAAACATTCGCGTTAATTTAATTAATGTTAATTTATGTCATCGTTAATTTTAAGTACGTAATTTTTATTTATCGTTAGTTAAAAAAACCTTGATTTGTTTTATGTAACACTAACTCTTCTAATATCAAAATACAGCATATTGACGCAAAACTAAAAACATCAGTGCTCCTCTCAAGTCTCAACTCAGGTCACTATCCGATTCGCGTTATTTTAACTAATTTGTCAACCATGGAGATCGTTAATCTCCTATAATAAGGTATATGAGAACGCTTCCAATTTTTCAGTAGCTACTATAGCTTACTATGCACTACAGTACTTTGTCACTTTCTGTGTAGATTTTTTTATAAAGAACATAGCATTTTATTTGCGGAAAGTTATTACAAAGTAACAATATTTTAGTAACCGACTGTTTCGTTAGATGTAATATATACAGCGTGAGCACACATGCAGCAGTGCATGTTTTATATGACAGAAAAAATACTTAAAAATAGTATAAATCGGAAGAATTTTGTATCAGAGTATACATTCTCCTTCACAGTCATGATTAAGTCATATTTATGAAAATTACGTATTTTATGCAGCTATGTTTTTAATGATTGGTCTTATCATCGGTGTTCTGGGGTTGATAATGTTATATGGATTAAATTAATATATGTCTGATAGTTGATCTTTCAAAATCATCGGTTGAAGAATTAAATTATTCTTTATAAAATACATCCAAAACCCTTCAAATGTTGTCAAGTCGTTTTCTGTTGACGTACAGCAGTCGCTCCATCATTAAGTGGCTATAACCTATTTGTATTAAGTGGGTTATAGCCAGTGGCATTTTAATTCGTCGTTGAACGATTGCACGCTAACAGCATATTGTAGGTTTCTTAATTAGGTTGTTAACTAAGACCTACTTGTTGATATTTTTTGTGCTATCTGCGGAGGGGTGCTTGATGAAACAACATCTTCAGGTTTCTAGAAAAAATATAATTAA